AAAAAAAAAAAAATTGTTGCGAATGATCATGAAATCAGACGATTCTGAAATTATTGTATCTTAGCTAATTAAAGCTTTAGATTTCATAATCATTCAAGTTTCACAATTATCCGCAACAAAAAAATACAACATGCCAAATGATAATCAAAGTGTTTTAATTATATTAGGTTTCCAAGAAACATCTAATTATGATTCGGAGTCTGAGTTATCAGATGATGAAAATAAAAGCGACATATCCGTTAATACTCAAGAAAATCAGGCAAAAAATAGCTCTGAATTAATCATAAAAAACATACAAAAAATTATATATAACTCACTTTTTGATTATTGGGATCACCTATCACAAATTTGCCTTATTGCAACACTATTAGACCCTCGGCTGAAAGAAATGTCTTTTGCAAACGAAGAAATTCGTAATAATGCCATTAATGAATGTAGACATCAACTTCACCAACTAATGAATATACAATCACCAACATCAAATGAAAATACTACTTCACCTAGCTCAAAAAATCTTTCTTCTAATAATATGTTTAAAAACCTTATATTTGGTAGTGCTCAAAGGTCGCAAGAATTTACGGATGAATTGGATTCTTACCTTGACCTTAGGCGAACACCACTAGCCTTTCCTGATAGAGATCCTCTCTTATGGTGGCAACAGAACCAAGTTCATTTTCCAATCCTCTCAAAACTAACCAGAAAATATCTTAGCGTTCTTGCTACTTCTGCTCCCAGCGAGCGTATTTTTTCTGACGCTGGAAATCACATTACCCCTCGACATTCCAATCTAAAACCCAAATTAGTCTCTCGAATGTTATTTCTAAAAAGAAATAATAATTTTATTAATATGTTTCCTAACTCTCATATATATAAGAAACAAATATAAAATGTTTACTAGAGCTTCGATCCTATTTTTTGATAGGCAATCCAGATTGAATCTACATCATTATATATAAAGCTAGCTTTATAGCACATCCTTAGGTTCATTATTTAAGTTTTTTGACCAATCAAAGTAAAAACTTCTGATCTTGATATCTGAATCTATTTGGATTTAAAGATTAATTCGGATAGTCAGATTAAGAATCGAAGCTCTAATATATACTTATTATTTTAAAAATTAAAAATTTATGATATAGTCAGTATAGCAAAAAAGAAATTTTTGAAATAAAAAAGATTTCACAAATCTCAGCGGAAAATTTTTAGAATGGTTAAACCAAATGAATTTTTTATATCGAAAGTCACCTTTGCAATATAAAAATTTCACTTATTCTAACTGCGATTATATCATACGCCTAAGATATAGCTTCCGATCAGTTATAATAAAGACCTTCATTATAGGTTTATGTCGACCCTTTATTTGCGAATTTTGATTACCTTAAAAAAA